AAAGCACATATTATGTTAAGTGTCCAGATTTTGCATGGTATTTGTAACCTCTTTGTTTTGTAGTGATTGGTCAGGAATTTTTTAAAATCAGAGTTAAAAAATTATTAGCCGTTTCCAAGAAGGCTATTCTAAGTCCATGGTCATCCCCTATTACTGTAAAAATATAATAAAAATGACAATAATGACTTCAATAATCTGTACACCAAAAAGACATTCCTCCTAATATAATATCTTTTTCTCCCAAGAATACACCATTAAAGCTGAAAATTTTTCATATCAGCATCTGTGGTTTGGTGTGCAGTTAGGCGCTTCCATGTCGCACGTAGAAAACATGAGTTCTATTCTCGCGTAGGTAGAGTTTTTTTTTAATCGAGTATCTCGGTCTTTCTGCTGTGAAGTTGTATCCCCCTCAACCCTGACAGGCATGGTCTATGCTCACCTACTAGATGGTCTAAATTCGTTGAAAGGGGCTTTAAAAATGTGGCGTTTTATAAAACACTACTCACCAGTCCAAACACAGGATGATGGTCAGTTTGGCAACTGACCAATCCCGGACCAAATGAAGGTACGTGTGCTTCTTTCCGGACTCCCTCGACTCTTTCTCCTGGTCAGCGATTCTCTGGAAGAAAATAAACCTATCGTCAGTATCCTACTCTAACCGCTTATCTGCCATATTTGGTCAAATAACTTGTTTAGTCTCCTTTGTGCAAAGCTAACTTGCCATTCAGGTTTTCAGCATCACAAAGTTCCCCATAATTCCCAACAAACCTCTTCGCATAAAATAAAAACTAAACTAAGTAGAAATAAATGACACAGGCCGGAAACATAACATTTGATTAATGAAACGATGAATTTATTGGGTTTTTATGTGTTTTTGTTATGACTGTAAACAATCGAGTGACGCAGTGAGCTGGTGCACCGTAGGGGCCTATAATTATAAAGTGTCAACTCTATAATAAGAGCGTAGCGGACAGTTTAAGTCCGATCAGCAATGGACCAAAGACAATGTTTAAGTACAATGCTAACCAACATACAATAAGAAACACGAATTTGAGTACGCCATAGTGTGAATGTAGAGTTGCCTGTCTTTTTAAGTTTCAGATAAAGAAATTGTAATTGAAAAATATTATGTATAAATAAGTAGGCTGTGTGTATAACTTTGTAGGTGCACCAAAATAAGACGTCTTCAAACTATCAAAGGATGCATCCTCATTGAGTTGATCAAGTTCATTGTGTCACGACGTGGTGGATGCAGACGCTCGTCAATGTTTGTGCATGTGGAGATATTGGTGTCATCTTAAAGCTTGTTCGGTTGTCTTGTCTTTGAGGAAAAAAATAGCCATTTATCTTGAATAGAAGTCGAAATATTTTCATTGAAGGAGGTCAGGGTTTGCCCTGGTTTCAGGGGTGAAATTAGCGAAAAAATAGCCGCCAAGGTTTTGGTATCTGCAATAGCCTGAGAGTCCATAGAAACTGAAACTGTACTTTTTTGTGCCTTTCATCAATGTTTTTTCCGAAAAATTCACACAGAAATGTGTTTTTAAATGGACATAAAAGGTGTTGAGCCAAGGAAAAATTTTTTTAAAAATTGACCATCGGCCCGAAAAATGCCGATTTCTTTGATTTCATTATTTTGACAAGCGCCTGATTTCACCACGGTGCCTCACAAATAGTGTTACCTGGAGAGTGGACCTGGTCTTCTCTGGCAGTGACCTCTTGTTGACCCTGGCCAGCTGCTGGACAACTGCCTCAGCCTCGTCCACTCGGCCTGTCACAGTCAGCCAGCGGATACTTTCTGGCACGAAGCTGGACAAAGGGTGGTTGTGTGTGTGTGTGTGTGTGTGTGTGTGTGTGCGTGCGTGCGTGTGTGTGTGTGTATGTGTGTGTGTGTGTGTGTGTGTGTGTGTGTGTGTGTGTGTGTGTGTTTGTGTCGGCGGGAGGAGAGAATCATCATCATCATCATCATCATTATCATCATTGTTAGTTTTATTATTATAATTATTATAATTATTTTTATTATTGCTATTATTATTATTAATATTATTATTATTATTAGCCTATTATTATTATTAAAGAAAGAAGCACATGGGCAATTTAGTGCAGGGAGATGGTAAGAAAGACAGGTATAAGTAAAAGAGGGAAAGAACATAAGGAAGGCATACCAGTCGCGTTCTTCAGCCACCCACATAGACAGAGAGAAACGACAGAGGAAAACGACCCCCCCCCCCCAACTTCCTCCCCTACCTCAGAAAATGGATCTTTTAAGGTCACGCTTCAACCACAGACATAGACAGTCTCAAAAGTATTGACCATAGACAGTCTCAAAAGTATTGACCATAGACAGTCTCAAAAGTATTGACCATAGACAGTCTCAAAAGTATTGACCATGTCTCCTCTGTTGGACCGTATCGAGGGATCAAGATCAGACAATAAAGAAAGTATTGCTTGGCCAATCTACTTTATATAAGTATACCGCCCTGGCGAAGTTGTATCATGCTCAAGCATACTGCTTTGTACCCCCGGGTGGTATTCTTCACATTTTAGAATACTTCTAGCGAGAAAATCTCTTTGAAACTTTCAGTATTTCTCAAAATATCATTTTGACAGACTGCTATTCAAAGCGTACGAGTAACGAGTAAATTTACTCTTTGGAAAGTGGTGGCACAGAGTTCCCCACGTCGTTTGGATACGATAGTAAACGACGTACGGATAGGGTTAAGGTCATCTTTCAAAACGCAAAAAGCCATAGCATTAATTATACATGTGACGTCCAAAAGAAACTTGAAAATATGATCACCCAACTATCGTGTTAAAGTAGTGCACTACCCACTGATGCAGCATACCAATTTAAAGCCAAATAAATTCTGCATCATCTGACACATTAATATTTCATCTATATTCAGAGACACCTAGTCACCTAGTCACCCATTCACCCTCTCACCCTCTCACCCTCTCACCCTCTCACCCATTCACCCATTCACCCTCTCACCCTCTCACCTATTCACCCTCTCACCCTCTCACCTATTCACCCTCTCACCCTCTCACCCTCTCACCCTCTCACCCTCTCACCCTCTCACCCTCTCACCCTCTCACCCTCTCACCGTCTCACCCTCTCAACTATTCACCCTCTCACCTATGTACCCTCTCACCTCCTCACCCTCCCATTGTATGGTTACATTTATTAACGTTAATAAGGTCGAAGATCCGATACCAGCCGTACGCGCTTATTATTTGATAAAGTTTTACATGCATTCAATATTAGACAATTACTAGATCTAGGTGTCATCATTCGACCCTGGCATTATACGTTACGTATATATAATAACCAACAAGTCACAATGTGTTACCATTCATTACTAACTGTTACCTTCATGTCTAGTTGTTCGGTTTTTTTTTTTTTGGGGGGGGGGGTTTGTTCATTGATATTTTTATAGTATCTCCCAAATGAATGAACTAGCGGAAAGTCGCCAAAGTCGCGAGCACGAGACGTGAAGTGAAGAGGGAACACCCAACACGTCGTTATCATTTATCAAGTAACTTGATTCATTTATATAGTCGGTGTACTAACAATTATACCATATTATGGTTTTGATCAGAATATTTTCTATCGGTCATTTTGTTCATTAAAAAAAAAATGCTTTCTAAGGGATTACTAAGGTTTGAAACATTTCATAATATTTCGACATTTAAAAGTTTTGCTTGATTTGTCTTTCTCTTATTTAAGTGGCTTTTCTGTTTTTCTGTTTACTGCTGTTTAATAAGACTTTTTAAGGTAATTGTTTCCCTTACTCAAACTGTTATTTCGGGTTGCTGTTACCTACTTCATAAAAGAGGACCCCTCTAGTATTGTGACTGAGTGTTCTACCTTCAAAATGAACCGTGTTTTCTTTCTTTCAAGTCTTAAACATTTTACTTGTGAGGTGATGTTGTATTATAAAAAAAACCCAAACTTCTAGGCCAAACGATCGGTTAATGAGATTCGTGGAGCAAGGGCTGGAGATAAAGGGAAATGACTGAGGAAGTGGCTTTGGAGAGAATACTTTACAAAGATTTATGGAACCTGGAGCCTTTATCCGAGTATTCCATTTATTATTACGTGTGAACTCTCCGTCTCTCCTGCCTATTCTCCGCTGCTTTCTCTCTCTGTCTTTCATACTCTGTCTTTCTCTCTCTCACTCTGTCTGTCTGTCTATCTGTCTGTCTGTCTGTCTGTCTGTCTGTCTGTCTTTGTCTCTCTCTCTCTCTCTCTCTCTCTCTCTCTCTCTCTCTCTCTCTCTTTCGCTGTGTGTGTGTGTGTGTGTGTGTGTGTGTGTGTGTGTGTGTGTGTGTGTGTGTATGTGTGTGTTTGTCTCTCTCCTTTCTGTCTCTCGGTAGCACAACTACCACCTTCGGGTGCTCTCGTAGTCTGGAGGTTCGATGTTCGCCCTTTGCCCTCAATTCAGACCCTTTGTTTGCAACTGTCTATAACATTTGGGATGAAATGACAGATAACCATTTCCTAAATTTAATAGAGGCGATGCCTAGGGGGTTCATGCCCTAAAAAACCCAAAGGCTCCTAAGCAAACACCAATGAGCGCATTTAATATTAATTTGTGATTGCTCTTTATTCCTTTTTGTTGGAAATAAGATATTATATATTGTAGAGACAATATTCTCCACTCACTGAATATGCAATGTATATCCATTCTATCAACATTGATGATCCTAAATATACGCACGAAAACAATTTTACATTTCTTTGATTTCGCGCAATTTTGCCAACCTTGATTTTTTTAAAGGTCAGTTTTGAATTACTATTTCTCGAGTGTCTCTTCACATTGATGAAATATTCGTGTGTCAGATGATGCAGAGTTTATTTAGCTTTAAATTGATATATTGATTGAGAGGGTGGTGCAAGGCTTTAACGCGATGATTGGGTGATTACATTTTCAAGTTTCTTCTGGACGCCACTGTATTGTCCCTGTGCGGCTTCTCCTGTAGTGTTAGTAACTTAGTGGGGTTGGCCACGTTTTGTGAACTAGAGTCCTCTGTGTCCGTAACATATATAGACATCAAACTAACCCATTCACAATGACGACAGAAATGAAAGATAGGTTGTCCCAATGCAAACATATCTCATCTCTCTTACTCTTAATATGGGTGGTAGGCGAATGCCCTGGTGCAGTTTGCTCCTTCTTTCCTTTCAAACACCCATCGTTCCTAACTCCCTTCCTTCCTTCCTTTCTTTGTATGTTACTCTCTAGTAACACCTCCGATCTTGGGTGCTTATATGACCTATGTGTGTTGTAAGTGCCGAATAACGATGATTTCAATCAGTCTGCTTTCTGTCTACTCACAACCATCCTATAAAAAAGGGACTAGAGAATGCAGCGCAGGCGATGTGCAGATGGGACCAGTTGTCGAGCAGGATCGCTGCCGCTGTATAGATACCCATGTTCAGAGCTGTGAAAGGCATGAGGCCCAACATCGCTCTCCACTTTGTGGGCACAAACTCTACCATGTAGGGGAATGTCACCACCATTATGCCACCTGCACAGAAAGACAAAAGAAAACGCTTTTGAATTTAAGATGTACGAGGATAAAAATAAAACCAATCAACCTAATTAAAACCAAAATCAAAGAAAGATAAGTTAAATAACGAATATATTGTCGAGTGTATACTAACGACTTTCTGAGCAATAACAACAATAACACTAGGCTACCGACGCCACTTGAAAGGATGTCCAATTTTAACAGTTATGATATTGTTTAAGAAACATCAACGTTAACTGAAACTAACCAATACAGAACGTAAAAAAAAACATGTGCGCTTGCTGAAACTCACCAAGTCCTATGCCAATAAAGAAGCGACACACAGCAAACATTTCCCAGTTCACCGAGAAGGCTGCTACAAGGTTGAATATGAGATGCTCTAGAGAGAACGAGTACAGGGACTTCTTTCGCCCGAACCGGTCACTTGTCCAGCCTGCCACCAGGGCACCGAGCAAGATGCCGCCCATCTGTACAGACGTTGTGGTTGGCTTGACCCAGCTCATATCACACACAAGGTCCCACTATAGAAAGGACAGAGAACAATGAAGAACAGATGACTTCGTTTTAGTAGAGGTTTTACGGCGCTCGCAACTGCATAAGGTCATATGAGCGCCAGAAGATTAGAGGTGTTACAAGAGAGTAACAAACATAAAAAAGAAGAAGGGGAGATAAGGACGATAGACGTTTGATAGGAAAGAAGAAGCAAACCACACAAGAGCACCCGCCAACCACCCACACAGATGTCTAAGGAATGTGGAAATGGGGATGGGAAGGCAAAAGAGATTTTGGGTGTGAGGGGGAGGGGAGGGATCTTAAAGGTGTTTACAATAAGTGGTGGTGTCTTTATTTGAAAGTACTGCTTTCTCTACAAAGTTATCACTTGCAAATAGTCTCTGCTCACCGCCAAACAAGTAGACTGCAACTTTACTTTTGGGACTTACGAGACATATAAGGTCCCACTGCAAAAACGACAGAGAAAACAAGATATCTAAGATAAGACAAAGTGGGGAAGGAGTGGGGTTGGTTTTGGTTGGTTTGATAGAGGCTTTAGGGCACTTGCAACACTTTACGTCACACAAGTGCCGACGATAAGGGAAGAGCACTGGGGAAAAACGACGGTAGTCGCAAACTGGAAATTGTGAGGGTGCCAATTTAAAAAGCTTGAGGACTCATAACTTCATACTTGTTTGACTAGTGGTTTATTGTTAAGTGTTGTTGAATGGTAAATCTAACAACGATAATCAACCAACAGTTGAACAGAAACACAATTATGAGTCAACAAGCGTTCAAAATTGGTATCCTCACGACTTTCAGTTTGTTACTACTAGATGCTGTCATTTTCCCTCTGTAGTAGGATTAAAAGAGGGTATAAAAATATAAAAGAGGATATCAAAGGATGACAGTAAATAATGATAGAATACGCAAACCATACCAGAGCGCCCATAGCACCCATACAGTGCTTCCTGAAACGCAATTTCTAGGTCGGGTCATTTTGCCCACCTGATTAATGATGGTCAGTGATTCTCCTTGAAAGTCGTGCCTTACACACGCAGTGCCGTTCACCTCACACACGTTTAGGGTGGTGATGTTACTGCCTGTCATGTCTGTGGAGTTGAACTCGTGTGTTCGGCATTCCCAGTCTGGTACTTTGCCTGAAATACAAATCACATTTGGTCGCTTTTAAGGACAAGCGGGCTCACCTAGATTTCGGGAGTTTCCAGAAATCTTGACCAGCTACACTAAAAGTGGGCATTGCCCTACCTATAGGATAAGTTTGATTTCATTGGTGTGTATATTTGTTTGGTTATAGAGGAAACTCTTCTTGTCTTTTAAAGAAACTGAACAAGGGAAAAAAAAACTTTACCTTCGCTTTTCTCAAAATAGCATTTTTCGGGATAGCCCCAATGTGCTTAAAAGCGACCATCTATTTTGTTGGTTGCTCTACGACTCCCAACCGGCGTCTGTGGTGTAGCAGGATGGTATCTAGGTATTTCAGCTGGAATGTGTCCCTGTCAGCCCGAGTTGGCCATGACAAGCAGGGTCGAAAGCCCGCCTCCTAAAAAATCCAAAATTGTGCCAACCGGGCCTTTGAAAAAAACTATATTAAAATGTATTTAAGTCTCACAGACAAGAACTTTGCCTGAAACACAAACCACATTCTATTGGTTGTTTTCAGCTTTTGTTATACTCTACACATGTATCTATCACATTATTATACTGAGCCTTTCTGATTAGTTCCTCTTTTGACCTTTGCAGCTTCTCCTGTAGTGTTAGTAACTAAGTGGGGTTGGCCACGTTTTGTGAACTAGAGTCCTCTGTGTCCGTAAGATATATAGACATCAAACTAACCCATTGACAATGACGACAGAAATAAAAGATAGGTTGTCCCAATGCAAACATATCTCATCTCTCTTATTCTTACTATGGGTGGTTGGCGAATGCTCCGGTGCAGTTTGCTCCTTCTCTCCCTTCATACACTCTTCGTTCTCAATGCCCCTCCTTCCAGACTTTGGTGCTTATATGACCTATTTGTGTTGTAAGTGCCGCAAAACTCTTAATGAAACAAAAAGAAATTCACCGCACGACTGTGCTCATTATCATCATCACTGCCTCTCTCACCCTGAGTCAGGGTAAAGGCCACAAATGAACACTTTCTACGCATCCCTATCCTGGGCTGGCCTCTTAACATGGTAGCGTTTAAGGACAAGCGGGCTAACCCAGATTTCGGGGGTTTCCAGAAATCTTGACCAACACCACAGGCGGGCATTGCTCTACCTATATGAGAAGTTTGGTTTCATTTTTGAGTATATTTGTTTGGTTATAGAGAAAACTCTCCATACGTTACCTTCGATTTTCTCAAAACAGCATATTACGGGATAGCCCCCTTGGGCTTAAAAACGACCATATTATTATCCCATATCTTCTCTCATTTCCATGTACATCTGTGACTCTTTTTCGGGTTCCACGTGACTTTTTCCTTGATCTTTTATCCTGTGGACTTCAATCCAGCACGTTCTTCGCTAAGCAGCAGCCTGGTTTCCTACGAGCATGACGACTGTGGTACTCACCAGCATATGTCATATGCATCAGACTCCAGGAGATAGTAGGCATGGACACGTACAGAGCCAGAAGCATCAGCCACTGGAACCTTCCAAACCCACCACACTCATCCAGGAGATCCTCGATGGTCACCAGAGTCATGTTAAATGTTGGAGACCAGACGTCACCGAATGGACCTACTGAAGGACACCCTCAGAGCCCACGACTTGCCTCTCCTCCAAACCACTTGACTCGCAGCTGACGAGCGACTGTTTCTCACCTCAAAGCTCACAGGTCTCTACAAATTAGAAAAATATAGAAGGTAATGTACTGGACAATAAGATACACAGCCCCTACAAACAGCAGAAAGAATCCCCTCAAAACAAACCGTGATCCTTTTGAAACGAGTGAAGTATAATGTGAGTCAAGTCTCATGCCTCTATTTTCTATATTATACAAAAGCTAAGACTAGACAAAATCTTGTCTGTGGTGTTCTAATAATAACGGGTGATCTTTACAAAAAATGTACAACTTTATTTTGTTAATATCTTCCTCCACACCGAAGTTTTACGTCTCAAAGTTGTACACAACATTTGGAAGTCAAAAGGAATTTGTCTTACATTAATTTTAGATAAATCTGCAGAATTGTTTTGCTTTACACAGAGCGCAAAAAAACAACATTTTCAGCCATGTCCCCATTTTTGTAGCTTGATGCACTAGTTCACATTAGGCCTACCGCTAAAAATCACAACGATTGCGCCGTATTGCAAACTACAGTAGTCTAACAGGCCAACAAAAGTTTTGAAATAGTTTTTCTCAAGTTTCCTTTGCCTTCTGAGATCATGGTTAAGATAAGTAAAGAGCAGAGAGCTTTTTGTATTGAACATTTCCGCACGACCAACTCATTTCGTAAGTTTCGCACAAAGTATGCAATTAATGGTAAGTGTCCTTAACGACCTCTTTGATGTCAAATGTGGAAATGGTCCATCAGTTGGGACCTGTAGAGAATCAGAACTAAAAATTCCCAGACAAAACGACCACTTCAGGTCAAACTCACACCGTTTGCACCCCTTTAAACGTTACCAGGGTGCAGAATTCAGTAGATGAGCCCCATGAGACGTCTGTCCATAGACGATGTCTGCAGCAATGACTTTTCTACATCTCAACAGTGCCCTCAAGGTAGATTTTCATCTATGACTGTACCATTTTCCCATTCGAGAAGCTATCAGAGGACAGCAATGTGTTCATTATTCCCCGATCGTCTTGAAAAGCTTGAAAATTTCCTCTATGACCTCTATGACATTTGGTTCCATGGCAAAGCCCATATTCACCTTTTAGGTTATATCAACCCCACAAATGCAGTCTATTTGAGCAACCCCCCCCCCCCAAATTGCCTCTAGAAACAGCTCCATGGTGTGCAGTGTGTGTGGCTTTGAGTACTCATGGTTGAGTGGATCCTTGTGTTTTTTGCCACCACTGAACATTACAAACGACGAGTAAAAATCTGTCGAAACAAAAGGAGGACATATAGACCATTGTGTCTCGAAATTTCAGAATTTTAAAAAAATCTCTGTTGGAGAAAAGAAATATTGTTTAAAGGTTACAGGGATGGAAAGATTAAATTTTAAAAATAAAATAAAAGGAAAGAAAAAAACAACAAACCAATCATTTCATGACATTCCTTACAAGATCTTTTAAATTGGTCCATTTTGCATTTATAGGTGGTTTTTATCAAAGCCATTTCCGTTTTCGAAAATAAGTTTCTTCTTTGTGAATTTTATGTCAAACAAATTCCTTTTGAATGAATTATATCTCTTCCAAATTACAACATTCTAGTACAAATTTTGCGCGAGATATTTAGAAAAAAAGTTGAACAGTTTGTTGTTTTTGGGTTTTTTTTTTTATCACCCTGTATACAATGGGAAGCACAAACAAACAGCGATTTTGTTATGTTCCGTTTCCACAACATCATATATTTTTTCTTAAAGCCGAATGTTTGACTTTACGAAAATGATTTCAACAGTTTACTGGGGATTCGGAAAAACAACAAAACCCGTAGTCTGAATTCCAAATAATGTTTTCGTAAAAGCAAAACAAAACAAAGCAAAAACCAAACTGTGACATGCATTCATTAGGAACAATAGAAGCCCACCTTAGAAAAACACCAGAGCTTATCCTCCGAGCCAGCAGAAAGTGGAAAACAAGACGCCCGAAAGATTCTAAAAACATGGACACTTTTCATTTTGCGAAAGCTCTTCAGATGTGGCACAGAACGAATCGAGAAACTTGACCCGATTGTTAAAGTAGAATTATCTCAATTTCAAGGAACAATGTATAAGTGTGTCCCAACGCTGTGGGATCAGGCGCTCGTCAGTTTTATGGCATGTAGACTTATTCATCATCATCATTGCCTTTCTCACCCTGCACCAGGGTATAGGCCACGGACAAACACCCCCCACTTTTCTCTATCCTGGGTTAGCCTCTTGGTGT